TTTTCATATGAATTCCTGTATTGTCGTTTCCAGGTCTGAGAAGAATGCTGCTGGTAATTTAATGGGTATTGCATGAAATCTGTAGATTGCCTTTGGTAGGATGGACACCGTAACAATGTTGATTCTTTCATTCCATGAGTATGGAATATCTTTCCATTTGTGTCATCTTTGGTTTCTTTGAGCAGTGTTTTGTAGTTTTCGTTGTAAAGGTCTTTCACATCTCTGGTTAGGAAGATGCCAAGGTATTTCATTTTTTGTATGTGGCTGTTGTGGATGGGGTTGTGCTTTTTATTTGTTTGTTTTTGTTGGTGTATAGAAACGCAACTGTCGCCGGGCTCAGTGGCTCAGCCTGTCATCCCGCGCCGTTGGGAGGCTGAGGCGAGTGAATTGCCTGAGCCCGCGGGTTCGAGACCCGCCTGGGCAACTTGGCGAGACCTCATCTCTACAATAAATTAAAAGAAACAGAAAAATTAACCGGGCGTGGTGGCGCGCGCCTGTAATTCCGGCTACTCGGGAGGCGGAGGCGGAAGGATCGCCGGAGCCCAGCGGGTCGAGGCTGCGGGGGCCGGGAGCGGCCCCTGCCCTCCGGTCTGGGCGACGAGGGAGACTCCGACTCAAAAAAGAAAGAAAGAAACGCAACTGTCTTTTGCGCATTTCTTTCATGCCCTGAGATTTTTGCCAAAGTCCTTTATCAGTGCAAGGAGGTTTCTGACGGATTTTCTTGGGTTTTCAAGGTATAGAATCATGTCTGCAAGGAGGGGTAACTTGACTTCCTCTTTTCCCGTTTGGATACCCCTGATCTCCTTCTCTTGTCTGATTGCTCTGGCCAGGACTTCCAAAACTTTGCCGAAAAGGAGGAGTAAGCGTGGGCACCCTTGTCTGTTCTGGTTTTCAGGGAAGTGGTGCCAGTTTCTGTCTGTTTTGCGGTGTGCCGGCTGTGGGTTTCTCGTAGATGGGAGCCGCCCCGCCCGCGCGCAGGATGGTCTGCTGTTCGCGGGGCCTTCCTGGGAAGTGGTTGAAAGCAGCTGAACCTCAAAATAAATTTCTTTTCCTTTCTTTTCTTTTTTTGAGTTGGAGTCTCACGCTGTTGCCCAGACTGGAGTGCAGTGGCCGCTCCCGGCCGCCGCAGCCTCGACCTGCTGGGTTCCAGTGATCCTTCCGCCTCAGCCTTCCGAGTAGCTGGAACTACAGGCATGCGCTACCATGCCCGGCTAATTTTTTGATTTATTGTAGGGATGAGGTCTCTCCAAGTTGCCCAGGTGGGCCTCGAACCCGCGGGCTCAGGCAATCCACTCACCTCTGCCTCCCTAAGCACGGGATTACAGGCTGAGCCACTGAGCCTGGCTAAAATAAATTTTTAAAAATCGTAAGACTATGAGAAAAAGCACAATTAGCAAAAAGTCAGTAGAAACAAGCATCAGCATCACACTAGCAAAAGCTTCAGTTACTGCAGTGATCAGATGCAGAATATTAATATTTATTATTTTTGAAGAAATAAAAGGGGATAAAAAGTAGTTTATCCTCGAACAACAAGGTTTGAACCGTTTATACGTGGACTTTTTTCTGCCTCTACCTTACCTGAGGCAGCAAAACAAGCCACTCCTCTTCTTTCTCCTTCTCAGCATACTCCGTGTGTAGACAAACTTCATCATGATGATCTATTTCCACCTAATGAATAGTAAATATATTTTTTTTTTCTTATGATTTTCTTAACAACATTTTCTTTTCTCTAGTTTAATTTTTTTTTTTTTGAGTCAGCGTCTCACTTTGTCTACCATGCTGGAGTGCAGTAGCACAATCACGGCTACCTGCTGGGTTCAGGTGATCCTTCTACCTCAGCCTTCCAAGTAGCTGGAACCACAGGCATGTACTATCAGGCCTGGCTGATTTTTTGATTTATCGTAGAAATGAGGTCTTGCCATGTTGTCGAACCTCAGGGCTCAGGCAGTTCTGTCGCCTCGGCCTCTCCAAGTGCTGGTGTTATAAGTGTAAGCCACTGTGCCCAGTGGCTCATGCTTATAATCCCAGCACTTTAGGAGGTGGAGGCGAGAGGATTGCCTGAGTCCAGGGATTCGGGACCAGCCTGGGCAACTTGGCGAGACCTTGTCTTTACAATAAATTTTTTTAAAAATTTAGCAGGGCATGATGGTACACACCTGTAGTTCCAGCTATATGGAAGGCTGACTTGGAAAAATTGCCTGAGCACAGCAGGTTGAGGCCACAGTGGCCACTGCACTCCAGCCTGGGCGACAGAGTGAGACTCCGACTCAAAAAAAAAACAAAACCAGTATAAAGTACTTATAAAAAATATAAGTAAATTGACTGTGTTATTGGTAAGGCTTCTGGTCAGCAGCAGGCTATAGTAAGTTTTGGAGGAGTTAAAAGTTGTAGATTTTTGACTGTGTTGGGATTGGTGCTCCTAACCCCCTGCATTGTTCAAGGGTCAGCTGTGTTAGTAAGGAATAAGATACTACCCAAAATAGCCAGGAATTGGTATGATCTCACATATGTGGAATTTTTATAAGTCGATCTAGTAGAAGTAGAGAGTAGAGCCACAGGCTGAAGGTCGAGGTAGGGGAGCAGGGAAAAAGGGGATGTTGGTAAGGGTAGAGGCTCAGTTAGACGGAAGGACCGGTTCTGGTGATCTGCTACACAGCGTGGCAACTCTAGTCAATAATAATGTATATTTCCAAATAGCTAAAAGAATGGATTTTAAATATCCTCAGTTCAGAGAAATGATAAGTATTTAAGATGATGGATATATTTATTAGCCTAATTTGATCATTTCTCAACGAATACATATCTTGAAAGATCACCCGATACCCCATAAATATTGAGAAGAAATAGGAATTTACAGATCCCTACAGATAATACATGGATAATCAAATAACTGGGGAAGGAGGGGGAAGGTTTCTTCCCTATGATGAAGTGCCAAGCACTGACTGTGAGATGTCAGGGAGGAGGGCTGGTGTCGGAAAATGGCCCAGATGACTCCCACAAACACAGGGAATCAGAAGAGCACATTGCAGGACACATACGAAATGGAACTGAGCACAAAGTGGAAGTAAACTGTATTGTTAGGAACGTATGCATGTGATGTGATATAACTAAAAATAATAGACATAATTACATATGAGAGTGGTTGCTCAGAAGGCTTACAGATATTGATAATACTCTAATTTCTTTAGTTGTTTTAGGTTGCAGAAATTCTCGTTTCATTCTTAGCTTATACATCTTTTAAAATATAAAATATTTTATAATATAAAAGTGAGCGTAAAAAGGAATTACGAAGAACTGTAGACTGTATATTAATTCCTAGTCTTAAATTTGGGCCATGAGTCATTGCATTACATGGGCACTCACATAAATACAACATAGTTTTGTTTTAGTAAAATGTTGGCTGTTGGTTTTTAGTAAAAATGGCTGTTGGTTATTAGCAAATAACAGATACTGTTTTCAATCTCACAAAAAAATTTTTACTACTTTCTTAGGGAAAGAGTTAATAAACATTAAGCACAAAATACTGCTGGAAAGATTTACAAAATGTAAGTTTCTGGGTTGGCAGGATTAAAAGCCTTTTAATTTTCATTAGCTAACCCTTTGTCCTTTTAATGTTTTATCATTTGATGTATTTTAATTAAAATTTTATATGTATAATTAAAATAATTTTAATCACATGAGACATTTTGAAAAATTCAGAAATATAATCTTCATGTTATCTGCCTTAGTAATCTTACATTAAAACTATTAATAGGTGATACAGAGCAGCCTTTAACATGGGTAAACATGGAAGCAGATATTTTGTAGAGCTTTTTACTCTGATTTTGTAATCCTGTGCTTAATGCCATTGTTAATTTTCTCTCCACTTTATCTTCTGAGACTTTGAGCCTGTTGATTGTAATTTTGCCAATTGTAGCACCTTGATACATGTCCAGAACAATTCTCTGAGGTACCATATTCAACGTGTTTGTTCACAGATACCTTGGACAGAACTCTAGGAGACAAACGGCATCTTGTGACTGTGGAAGTGGAAGCAAGGCCAGCTGAAACACCATCTGTTACGCCAGTGATCGAGTTTGCCGGAAGTGTCGGTGAAGATCTTTTGAAGGTCTCCCAAGAGGCCATTGAAAATGGAATTCACAGCGCATGCCTCCAAGGTAAGGGGTTGCTCACATAAGGGTGAGCGTTGAGTGTCAGACTCGATTGTTTAATCACAGCTCATAATACAGATTATTCAGTCTTTCTCCTTAGTGTTTTTTTCCTGTTTCTTTGCACTCCTCAGTTACTCCTTACTACATATTAAGTCATAGCACAATACAACTTTTTTCCTTGCCTAGGACCATTGCTCGGATCCCCAATTCAAGATGTGGCAATTACATTACATTCCCTGATAATTCATCCTGGTACCTCCACAACTATGATTTCCGCATGTGTCTCAAGATGCGTACAAAAGGTATGGAACTATCCTACTTCTTCCTGATTGCTTTAAGGAGACTTTCTCAAATGTAGTACCATGGGCCTTCCATATAGCTGTGCGTACAGAGCCTTACTTTGTATCTTTGCCTCCTGAACCTTGTGGTCAGCAAGTGTTCTTAATCATAGAGAATCTTTGATTTCTTAATCACCAGGTTTGAAAAAAGTCTAAGAATTTCTTTTGAAAGAAATCTTAGAAATTATAGTGTAACATGGATTGCTATTGAAATGTCCTCTGATTTTAGCAAAGAGGCAAGTTTCCTTAAGTAGCATATCTGCTATACCAGATAAACAGCCATTAGAGGCAAGCTTGGTAAGTTTGAGTAGAGGACAGATGTGGGGTTAGCTTGACCCAAGAGGGACTATAATGTAGAGGACATTGAAGATCTAATGTTTGTTCCAATTTCGGAGTTTACATTTATTCAAATAAGAGTGTTTTGACCAAGGTCCACTGACACCAGATTAGTCTCACTGAGCAGCAGACTTAGAGTAAGTACCTTCCCTTCTCAAAGCATCAAGCAATGTGGTTACCTTTGTATGGTTACCTGGGGCGAGGTATGTCTTTGAGTATCACAAATCCTCTGCTTCCTGCTACAGTAACCTACCAGAGCTGGATTAATTCCAGGAGTATAGTGTGCTGTTTCCAGGCATTCTTCTCAGCATTGAACTACTCAAGTTTTATAGGTGATTGATTTTGCATTATAACATTTGCTTTTATAACCATTTCCAATACTTGAACTGTGTTTGAGACCTAATTATCTCTAGTTTTATTTTAATCCACAATTATTAAGTTAATTTAAATACTCCCAGCCCCTGACTTGATAAGCCTGAACTTAATCTCTCTTACATAGGAGTTAAATTCATACTTCTTTTTCTTTTTTCTTGAGTTGGAATCTCACTCTGTCACTCAGGCTGGAGTGCAGTAGCATGCTCACAGCCACCACAGCCTTGACCTGCTGGGCTCAAGCGATCCTTCCGCCTCAGCCTTCCAAATAGCTGGAACTACAGGCACATGCCACCACACCCTGCTAATTTTTTGATTTACCGTGGAGATGAAGTCTCGCCAATTTGCCCAGGCTAACCCTAACCCTAACCCTATCCCTAACAATCCTCTCACCTCGGCATCCCAAAGTGCTAAGATTATAGGCATGAGCCACCATACCCGGCCCAAAATTCATACTTCCTAAAAGGCTTTTTTATTTAAAAAAACAAAAAACAAAAAACCTATGCTTTGAAAAAATAAATTATTTGAATATTGTTTACCTAAGAGTGCAGTTAGAAGTATCTCCCACAAAGGAGTCATGATTATATTGTCAAGAAAATTCACTTTCAGATTTTTATTTCTTCCAAATTTGGTTTTAACATTGAAATAGTGGTAATCCAAAAACATGTTTCTAAATTAACCCTGAGCCCCAATATATTGGCCTCTCCTTCAAAAAGTAATATGCTTTCTAAAAATAAAATCTGTATGTATTTCTGAGTGGATTAGCCTTTTTAATTAGATTGTCCTAGAGATCAAGAATTAGCTTTGTGGAGGCTTACATTTAGTCTTTAGCTTTTAGTTCACTACTTTAAATAAAATCCTCCTGATGAAAGTACTTCTGCCCTTGTTAAACATCACCTAGTGGGAAAGCTCCTTCTGTCTGCTTAGGGAAGTTAATGGTGCTTCCTGTATTTATTGAGTCGTTTATGTAGTGCTTATACCTCTGGGCTCTGAGAAGGACGCAAATAGGATATTTTCTCTACCTAAAGTAGCCTGTGATTTAATAAGATACAGCCAAGTAGCCAAGGTATTAGATAAAATGGGCCAAATGCCATAAGAGCTGGGAAGCAGGGAACTGGAGAGGATTCTTGGAAAGAAATTAGTCTTTGAGCTGTGGTGGTGTTGGAAGATTTAAGTATGGTGGCGGGCTTTCCAGACAGAGATGAGGGGCTCCTTTTAGCTGCAGTGTCAGCTGAAGGCAAGGGAGCAGTGAAAAATGGTGCTGGAAAAGTAAAATGGAGTCAGACTGTAGAGAAACCTTGAAGAACTACATTAAGGAGCTTGAACTTTGTTCTGAGAACAATGGAGAGTAATTCAGAGTTTTTGAAGAGGGAAATGTAATCAGTGGATCACGGAAGCTATTAGAGTGGGGAAGAGACAGGTAGGACAGGGAATGGACTAGCTGTGAGCTAGGGTGTCAGTACTAGGAGTGGAGACCTTCCAGCATACCGGAGAAAAGAAAGTGAACGCTGCCTGTCCAAGTGGTCTGGAGGCTAGGGATGCCATCTGCAGCAACAGGGAAAAGCAGGGCAGAGTGCTCGGGGGAGAAAATGATGCGCTCACTTGAGGGCATCTTGGGGAGCTGTGGGATATTCAGACGCCATCCTGAAGCAGGCCAGCGGAATACAAGACTGGTGCCAAGATTGCACTGGGCAGGATTTAGATTCGTTTTTGAGGAGGCCACGTAGGTGCCTTCGAAGCTCTGCAGTTAGGTGACGTTGACAAAGAAAAGATTGTGAATAAAGAGGACCAAGAGCAGCTCCCTGAGTACAGCAGATTCTACACACACAGAGTTCAGTCCTTGCTTTCACTGTAGCATTTCTCCTAATTTCTACCTTCTCCCACTCTTTTTTATTCTGAAAGACATTTTCACTTTCCGTATTCTTTATGTGCATGTTCTTGGGCTTTGAAGTCTAAGACTCTAAACAGTTACGCAAAGATGGGTTTGTTTAAATGTGTGTCTACCACCATATTTCATTACATTTTTCTTTTTCTTTTTTTAAAGCTCTCCCCTTTATTTCCCTTCCTTTATTGCCTTCTCTGGCATGTGGCATGGACTGTACCTGTAGACATCAGGAACAGAAACATGAGGTTTAAATATGAAGAAACAAGTCTTTGATTGAAAGGGGAAGACTGTTTTCTTCTGTGACTGGCCACATGTTCACAGGCGCTGTGTCTATCAAGCTTCACTCAACACCCCCTTGTAAAACACCATTCGAGAGGTCTGGACGTATTATTATCATGCATGTACAGGCAAATAGTGAAGTTCTTGACTTTTTATAAAGTGTTAACTTTATAGAGAGATTTAAACTAAGCTTATGTCTTTTTGTTAGAGCCCTAGGCATAAGGGCTTATGGACAGTATTGAAGTTTTTATATATGAAAGCGTGGTTAACAGTCTTTCATTTCTCTAGGCTCTGAAGAAAGCCGATAAGCAAGTTTTAGAGCCTCTGATGAATCTCGAGGTTACAGTAACTAGAGATTATCTCAGCCCTGTCCTGGCAGATCTGGCACAAAGAAGAGGGAGCATTCAGGAAATCCAGACTCGTCAGGACAACAGAGTTGTTATTGGATTTGTTCCTTTAGCAGAAATTATGGTAGGTACTTTGTGACTGAAAAGTATATATTCTGTTTTGAGTTCAGGGGGTTACATATGGCAAGTGAAAATGGACTATCAATAATCTGAAAGAAGCATCAGATTTTCTTTGGTTTAGAGAATACATGTTAAATTTCAACCACCAGGAACAGGCTTGAATTAAAATTATTGAGGAAATGCAAGGCATTCAGGGGGTCATTTTCAGTTCTAGAACCACAAGCCTGAGGTGTCCAGCTCCAAAAGGTGGCACCGATCTAAGTGACCCCCCTCCTAGCACTTATCTTACTTCTTCCATTATCAGTTTTAAGGTAAGCATCATTCTTCTCTCCCTTCAGCCTCTTCTGCTCCAGGGTACCAGCACAGTTAGTAGCAAGGATATCTTAGTGTCAAATACCAAGACCACAGAATACATCTGCAACATACTGGCACTACTCCAAAATATTTTTATATTTGATTTCTCTGGGGAAAAAAAGACTAAGTGGTCTTTTGAGGGAAGTGATATGGCCAGGCCACGAGTGACATTACTTTTTTCTATTAATAGTAAAAAGATAATCAACAGGAAGAGAAGGTTGAGGCTTACATTTGATGAGATAAATGACTAAATTTTTTTGACTAGGGTTATTCAACTGTGCTTCGAACACTCACATCAGGCTCAGCTACTTTCGCCTTAGAACTATCTACTTACCAAGCCATGAATCCTCAAGACCAGAGTACACTGCTCAGCCGGAGAAGGGGCTTGGCCTAAACGTTTTAGGTCCTTGGAGAGGAATTCAGGAGCACCTGCCTACTTTATTTTCATTAAGGACGATTTTTATTGCTTTATTTGTTGGGTAAATAAATTACTGTTTCAGTACATTCAAAGACCTAGATTGAAGATGTGACTGGAAAACTGACAGTAGCACTGGAAGCACCCATTTTAATTCAAATAATGAGAAATGTATTTTGATGTTCTGGACAGATGTACCCGAATCATGTTCATCTGTGAAGTTATTACTTTTGGCAGTAAAGAGTCAACCTTGGCAGTAAAGACTCAACCTTTGGAAGGTTTTGTTTCCTTTGTTTTTTAAGCTTCTCTCACAAGAAAGATGCCAATCTTCTATATGTAATGTAAAATAGGACAGAGGTTGGTTCAATCAATAAAAATATTTTATTCAAAAAACAGTCTATCTTAATTTACATGATTTCATAATCAAGTTGATTGTAGTACAGATTGCTGTGGCCTTTTCCTATGCTTGTTTCGCCTCATTTTTACGTTTAGTCCTCGTGGCCACAATATCCAGTAAAAAGAGGTTGTGCACTTATTCCACGTCTGCAGACAGATAACATATGAATGAAAGAAGATAAAGGTATTTTAGGTTGACATACCTCATCTGCCATCTTAAAGAACTTGGTAGATTAAATCAGAATCACTAAATCACAACAGTAATTAATGAAAAAGGCAAAAAATCAATTGTTAAAGGGATTCAAGATGTAGTACTACATATACATCACATCAAAATTGTATATATCTATAAAAACAGTCATAAGTCCAAATGTATTATCTTATAGGTAATTATTCTCTTACCTACAAAAAATAAGTCCCAGTTTCTTCCTAAATTACTGCTTCTTAGGTAACATAAATTTCTATCACAGCAAAAAAACCTCAAGAAGCTAGCCAACCCCGAATAAATGAAAAACCACGCCGGCCTTCATGGTATGCCCGCCCGCCCGCTTGAGAAGTAAGCGTCTCTGACCTGACCATTCTGCAGCGGTGCCTCGTTAGTCGGTCATAGGCATCATCCACATTTCTGACATCTCTGGGACTCCAGAGTCTCTCACCAACGGCGCTTGCCCGAGGCCTGAAATTTAAGCCACACATTTCCCAGAGCGGTTTAAATTCATGTTCTTAAAAATAAGGATCTGAATCAGATGCTTGGAGGAAGTCCTAGTGCTTTCCCGCTTGGATGGAGAAAGCAAGCCAAGGCCCCTTCATTCTGAATTCCGATGTGATCATGGAGATTCCTACCATAATCTTGGCGTGAGGTTGGTTGCGTCCACATACTCTCCCCACAGACAGGCTTCTCCGCCGATGACAAGTTTTTTCTGTTCCTCAGGACCTACGTTAAGATAATGGAATTGACATCAGTTAAGCAGCTGCAGCTCAAGGCTTGCACGCAGAGGCAGTATTGATTTGTCCTGCGTGGGAGATGTTCACGGTTGTGGCATACGAAGATGGCCAACTTTATTCCCACCCCGGCCCGTGGCTCTCGGTGCATGTTAGCATTGTTGGCTAATGCGATGGGCCAGTATCAAGGACACTTTTATTCTGGTGTCACACAAGCTCATTTGGACACTGGAAACCGCTCCCTCTACTGCTCCCCTGTGCCGCCTCCCCCCGCCCCCATTGCTTGCTAGTAGGGTACCAGAAAATACAAGTGGAGTGCTAGTTTCTTCTGCAATGGACTGTGGCTGGCATGCCTGCCTTTAATTTCTTGGCATTTAACAATAAAAACTGAGTAGCTAATACTGTTTTTCACAGTAATTATGGCATGCTGATCCTCATAAAATGCATTCTAGAGAAAATTCTATCAATTCTCATATATCTACCATTTTTGAAACTTTTTTTAAGCAGCAAAATCATTTTTCAAAGGAAATTTTATACTAAAGACTGGTAGACAAAACTGGACAATGTAGAACTGTTTTGTTTGTTTTCTTGTTTTGTTTTGAGTTGGAGTCTCACTCTGTCGCCCAGGCTGGAGCGCAGTGGCCGCTCCCAGCCACCGCAGCCTTGACCCGCTGGGCTCTGGCGATCCTTC